AAGATCCTGTATATATTTCCCTGTGCTACACGGTACAATCTTGTTTATCTATTCCACATTTTGAAATCCCAGTCTGTCCCTTCCCACCCCCCATCCCCTTGGCAACCACAAGTTTGTATTCCATGTCTATAAGTCTGTAGAAACTGGGTCTTTTTTTATATTTTCCATGTCTTTGTTTAATTTGTTCAACCTTTCCTCTACCTTCTTGAAGTTATACAGAATAGTGATAACTTTTTAAAGTCCTTCTCTACTAATTCTATCATTTATATCACTTCTGGCTCTGTTTCTACTGACTGATTTTTTTCTCCTTGTAATGGGTGGTTATTTTTTCCTTCTTTTCATGCCTGGTGTTTTTTTATTGGGTTCTAGACATTGCTAATTCTACATTATTGAGTACTGGATATTTTTGTATCTCTACAGATATTTTTGAACTTTGTCTAGGATACAATTAAGTTACTTGTAAATGGTTTCATTCTCTCGAGATTTGTTTTTAAGCTTTGTCAATCTTTAGGGCTAATTTTGCCCTATACTGAGGCAATATCCTGAGTACTTTACTTGATGTCCCATGAACTGCAAGGATTTTTGCACTCTTGCAGGTGGGAACACAAACAATTCTCTGCCCTGTGCGAGCTCCAAGTTTTGTTTCCTCTAATCCTTTTGGCGAGTTCTTTCCCAGGACTCGGGTCGTTTCCCTACATACATGTGCTTATCAGGTATCAGCTGAAGACTCAAGGGAGACACTCTGCAGCTCTCCCCTCTGGTGCTCTGCCCGGTGAGTTTTAGCCACCTCTACCCCCCAGCTACCTCAGCTCAACTCAGGAAGACGATAAGCCTCCATCTGGGTTCCGCTTGCCTGTGCTGTGGCCTGGAAACCTTCCCTAGGCAGCAAGCTGGACAATTACAGGGCTCACCTTATCTGTTTTCTATTTCTCAGGAGTCACTGCCCTGTGCTGCCTGATATTCAGTGTCTAAAAACCATTGCTTAATACATTTTATCCAGTTTTTTAACTGTTTTATGCAGGAAGTCCCTGTTATTCCATCTTGGCCCTATAGCCATTTTTAAGGTTTTGGAAGAAATCACTTTAGGAGCTAAGAACAGCTTATATGAGTTGATTAGCACAAATTATAGGATCAGAGCAGCCTGACAGAGGGAGGAAAGGAGAAAGAGAGGACAGTAAATTGTACAGGTTTATCCCATGCCCCCTTCTGTTTCCTACCCTGAGGAATAGCTTAGGGAATGGGGAAAGCTGCTTCTTTAATGACTGTCTTTAATAAAGTTGTTCAGTGGGTGAAAAGAACAGGCATTTAACAAACATTGAGCACCCACTGTGTGCCAAGTACTGTGTTAAAGACTGGGAATATCAAATGAATATGACACAAAATGCAGTAATAAATATAAATACCCTTAACATTTTTGTAGGACTATAAAAGCAAATAAATTATTATAAACAAGCAAACAATATTCCAATAAGTGTCATGATCAGAAAGTTACAACATAAAATAGCCACTTACCCAGGGCAAGTAACTGTTTACGTCAATCAGGATATAAAGTATTCTCATCTTATTCCTTTTACTATATTGTCATTGTTATGGGCTATTGAATTTTGCAATTGCAAGACTGTGTGAAACTTCCTGGCGTGGTTCCCAATTGTAAGGAACTCACTCTTGGAAGAGAGACGGGCAACAGTTCATCAGTGCACTGTGAGAGGTGCTTGAGCTCTTGGCCAGCGTCCCCACGCTTCTTCAGGTGAAGTCACTAGGCTTTTTTTGTGAAATAATATGACATTTTACTAGAAGAAAACATGATTATATTTTTACAACTATACCCATTTGTAATAAAAAGAAGCTATCGAACTCAACATGATGGGCTCGAAGTTTTTCCATTGTTATTCAACCAAGAACTTCATTCTGTCAACAACTAGAGCCTCCTAGCAGCAAGGAAGAAAGGTGGGGAAAAAAACTAAGAAACATAATCAGGAGAAAAACTTAGGAATCAAAAAATTCCTCGAAGTCAGAAAAGATGATTGTTAATGTAGAAAGCATCGGACCTTGGTTCAACTCATGAAATGCAGAATTTAAAGGCATTAAAACTGCTTTAATTACAACTTGGAATGAGGTGGGGCAGAAATAAACCTAATATATTAAGCAATTCAATGTCATCCGAAGTGAAGTAAACCAGAAAGAGAAAGAAAGATACCATATGATATCACTTATATGTGGAATCTTAAAAAAAAAAAAAAAGACAAATGAACTTATTTACAAAACAGAAACAGACTCACAGACATAGAAAACAAACTTATGGTTACCAGAGGGGGAGGAGGTGGGAAGG